TTTGTATCTGTGGTACTTTCAGCTGATATAATATAATTGTTAGGTGGATGGAGTTTTGAAGGTTGCTTGCAGGGGCAGTAGCTTTCATGTCCTTCCTTTATTTGTTTTAATTATTTATTCGTATTAGATTTAGTAATTTCCTACTTTGGTGTTGTTTATCTGGCTTGGGTTTGTTTGATGTAATTTCTGGTTTGGCTAGCTGAGTGTTTTGTATTAGCTACTGCTTTCCTTGGTTTTGTAGGTTAGATTTAGGTCCTAGCCCACGTGCAAGCTCTAAAGTGCGCGTGTTTTTTGGCTGCGCGCGCTGTAGAGCGCGCGCGTTTTGTTGTTTTCCGTTAGTCGCATTTTGTAGCAATGGCGCGTGCAAAACACTCAGTTTGCTGAAGAAGGCCGAAGTGCCGAAACGTTCATTAAAAAGTAGAAAACCTAGTTACAAGTTGCGTGGCTTTTTCTTCATTTATTCTATTTATATAGATATATATATAAATATCTACTGACCTCATCAAAATAAGCTTAATGATATGAAAAAGCATGAGGCACAAAAAAAGAATTATATTCTCGTTCTGTCGGAATTGCAGTACTTAATTTAAATATCACTTAAGATTAATTCACAAATGGATAGAGTACACCCATTGCTAATTGTTTCTTGTGTCTATCTAACCAAGATGTCAATTCGTCATTACTCAATTGCATCGTAATAGACTTGCCCATGTTTGAAAATGTAGTATGGTGTCTGCCTGGATTGACTTGGAATGGCCTGACTCTTCTCAAGTCTCTTATCATTTGAATCTCGTCTTCACAAGAACTTCTCTTGCTGTGGGCCTTTGATTCATCATGAATTCTTGAGCTGTGGTCATATGCTTCCGTTATCATGGTCACTCCAGGAGAAGCTTTGGATGCTCTGACAATGGCCTTGTCARTCTTGTTTGGTCCCATTGATTTAACTATCTCTTTACTCTCTTTGTTACATATTTCTTGTGCTGCATCACAAGAGATATTTTTCCCAACTCCCCCTCTCCAGTTTACAAATCTTCCCCAAGTAAGTCGATGTGCCATTTCCTCAGAAACCATAGCCTTGATCTGTGATATTGAGATAAACATTTCTATGGCATATTTTGAATAACTATTCGATGACTTGAAATACTTGAGTTGCTTCTTGTTTAGGTTATCTCTATCGCCATCTCCTTCTGAACAGGTATCTATGAGTTGCATTAAAAACAATGCAAGCTCAATAATGTTTAACCCATAGTCTCTGTAAATTAGAAAACATTTTTTGTGAGTATAGTGAATGTATATTGGAGATGCAAATATTTTGAACTGAGTTGAGTGCAACAATCTAATTAAACTATTTCAGTGGAGCTGTATAAATGATTTCTCTTTCACTACCTCACTCTATCAGGTTGAATAGCGTTGCTAGATTTTTCCACATTCACATCTGGTTGATCAGGATCAGAATATACTTTGCAGTAGTCGTGATCCTTTTCAATCCTCCTGATCAACTGATTTTCTGTAATGGTGTTTTCCATTCCATTGATGTCATTTTCATGAATCTATAAACAGAAGACAAAATATATGAAGCCACCTAACCCTTCTTTATTAATATTGTAAAGTTATTATTACCTCATTAAGCATATATTCATCCACAAATGCACCCACGTGTTCGTTAAAGTATTCTAGTTTTCTTTGCTTTGTTGCATGCAGGATGCATGGTATTCTTTTTGTTGGTACATCATCCATGGATGTCATACCCCAAAATTCTAGAGCAGCCTCAACAACATGTTGGCAACCTAAAAGTAATGTTTAAGAAATATAAAAGAGGTGTATGTAATTAATCTCACTAGGTGTAGGCAATTAACAACTGACTGCTTGAAATGATGACTCATAATGTGATAATAATAGAAATATTGATAATAAGCCAGGATGTCTCTATCACCTTCATAACTTTTGGTCACTTTCTCTGGTGTAACATTTCTTCTATTCAACTTTTSWCTGAAAAACTTTAGTKTGCCAACCTCCCTCACTGATTCAGCTTTATACAAGTGCGTTTATGACAATAGCAAGTATCGCAAAAATCATAATTGATACATGATGTGGATCAATGGAGAATCAATGATACATTTAA